TCCTTACGCGCCTCACCGCCGTCATCTTCCTCATCCCCCTCTTCCTCCTCCTCTCCCTCCTCATCGTCCTCAGAATCCAACTCCAGCGACTTCTTCTCACGCAGCCAAAACTGCACATGCTGCACCATGCCGCGAGTGTTCCACCGGTAGCTAAGAACCTCCGGCCGCACCTTCTTGCCAACTTCAATGACCGCTTTGGTCATCGCATCCGCCAGTATCTTCCCAAAGGCAGGGGAAGATTTAAACTGGCGAACCGCCGCGACCTGCGCTTCGCGCACAGCTTCCGATTTGGCCACATCGTGAAGCCGAACCAAATCCCTCTTCTCCTTCTCAAAATCCTCTTGAGCCTGCTTCATCTTTTCAGCATGATCCTTCTCTAGTTGGCTCTTCTCCCGCTCCCGCTCCTTCGCCAAACGCTTTTTTTCCCCTTCAAACTCCTCTCGCAGCTCTCCTCGAACCCGATCCCGCACAGCCTCCACTTGCTCTTCCAGCCTGCTCTGAAAGACGCCCAGCTGCTCTAGAGCATCGTTGGCCTTGTTGGTCGCCAACTCAGCGCGGCCCTCAGCCCCAGCCAGCTTACTTTCAAGCTGCACGATCTTCGATTCCTCAGCCTTCATCTTCGCGCGCTCCCGACTTCGCTCCTGTTGAGCGCGGAAAGTCGCCAGCAAACCCTGCATCCACAACGTCACAGGACTTAGCAAAAATAAAATAAGAGGGGGGACGAGAAAATACTTCGCGGAAGCTCAGACAATCTTACCGCGAAGTGCACTTGTGCTAGATCCTGGAGCGGATCAGACTTCTCCAGGCGCGACGGGACACTCAGAACAGGTCCCAATGCCCGTATGGCATTGTTCGCAGCCGCAACGTTACACGCCGCGCCCGTGTGGGTCCGCACATAGCGGAAGTAGTCAATGGCGCCACCGGCCATCTGGGGTAGCTTCTGCTGAATTGTAGCCCCAGATGAGCCGCCAGCCGCGCTACCCTCCGGCCGAACGCTTCGGTCCGCTTGCGACGTGGGCTCCACAATCACCAGCGGCTGCTGTCGCGTCGCTCGCGCAGGCTGCTCCACAACGCGAGCAGCCTTTGCAGGCTTCTCTACAACCACAGGCTGCTCAACTTCTTTTCTCTTCGCGCTCTTGGGCCGCGCGCCCTCCTTTCCCTTCTTCTTCCCAGCGCGAGGCGCCTTCACGATGTCATCAACTGACATCATACTCGCCAAGCTGGAAAAATCAACACCTGCGCCAATAAGACGTAAGAGGGCGGTTAATATGATAGAATGCAAAATGAAAGAAGCACAACTAACCATCGGCAAAAAGTTCTTCCAAACAAGCCTCGCGGACTCCGCCATCGTATAAGTTGAACTTCTGATGCATGCACGCTTCGTATTCATCATCGAGCCCAGCGTAATGACCCAGGTCCGATTCATACCCATGCGTGCCGCCCTTCTTCCACTCAGTCGGCTCCGTCATAAATTCACTCGCCCACTCCCCCGGGGCCGGTTTAACATAAAAGAAGTGCTCAAACCAAGTTTTCTTCAACTTGGGAGACCCGTACACAAAACCCTCAGGTCTCTTGTCACGCCGCTTGATAGAAAGGCAGTCGCTCCTCCTCGTAGGATCCTTGATCTTATAAAACTTCCGGAATAAGCCGTAAGTTGGCTCAATCTTGAGCCTCTTGCACGCGAGTCGGAGGCAGCTCGCGTGCATTATCACTGAAGGGGAAAGACGCCCAACTGAACAGTTGAGGCGCCTTTACAAAGCGCATAGCAAGGGGTCGATGGGGAACTTAAATCCCATCACCCAGTACTCTGTGTACACCCCAAACCAGCCCGCGGGACAGTTTCCAACCATACTTCTCGCGGACGGAACCGCGTACTCCCAATTGGGGGGCAAACCTAACCCACGCACTATGTCCATCATGTCCTGGTACCCGTAAATGGATGCGTGATCGGGCCCCCTGAGAAGGTTGTCACTGGGAGCGGGCTGATCGCCCCACATCTCCGCCCAGTCAATGACGGTGTAAGCCACGCCCACACCTCGGAAGCATAATCGGCTCATCGCTTCAATTACACGCGCGGTGCAGCGCGGCTCCGACTGGGTATCAGACCCTTCGCGCATCTCCGAGTCAGCCACCCCAGATGCACCGTCGCGAGGCCGCCGAATAATCAAGACCCCGCGCGCGCCAACACCCGCCTGCCCACTCCCAGACGCAATCATCCCCTCATCGGGGCCCCAGCCCGCATCGACGCCGAGCGACGGCGCCTCCGCCGAAATCGCATTGCCACCGTCGGCTCCGCCGTCGTCCTCGTGCCCAGAATCGTCCAGATCCAGCGAAGGATCGGTAGAAACGCGTGAAAAAGAAGAGGGATTACCTTCTTCGCCCTGCACGACCTTGGTCTCGTTGATGTTGGTGCTATCCATGGTAATACTTCGAATCAGCAACAGCAAGGTGAGAATCGAGGTTGTAGAAGAAGGAGAGGAATCCCAGAGACGGCAAGAAAGCACAAAGAAACAAACGAAATTTTTCTCTCACGATAAGAAAAGTGGGTTCCGACTTCTGGGCAGAGAGGAGGTATTTATACTCGACAACGGAAAGTTGAAGGGTTAAAGTTACATCGAGAATCGCAACTGTCAGAGCCTTTTCAAATTTCAAAACGGCCGCCAAAACTGACCAACCGCACACAGACACGTGGCAACCTACCCAACATAGGCACTAGCCGCTGACGTCATAGGTTCCGCACAGCGCCTGGGGGGCAGGATACGCCCACGAAGGAGAAAAAACACGCTCAAAACCAATCCCAACTAAGAAAGCGTCACGCACAACCAACCCAGGAGATCTCGGCCACTCGCGGAATATCACTAATGGGGGGGCAATGTAAAAACGGCGTGCACAACCAACCCCGGAGATCTCGAGCGGACGAGAATCGTGCAAAGGATGCACCAGCTGTGCGCGCCACCGAAGATCACGCGGAGACCAAAACATGCACTAACTTACCCAGATCGCGCCAATCATAATCAACAACGCAGAAACAGGCAGAATCGCGCAGATCCGAGTCGCTCACATGAAGATCAAACAGGCGGCATTCGCGGAATACCCCCTGATGGGGGGCAATTGTTGGGGATGTGACTCGGATCTCACCACGCCGAAGAAATACCCAAGGACGCTCACGCCAAAGTCAACGCGCGAGTCACGCCGGAACCAAGCGCGAGCGCAAAGACCGGCCCCAGAGACCGCGCATGGACGCCAAATGACGGCGCTTTGGACAAGCGTGGGCCCTCGCCGAGAAGTCGTAGAAGCGGCGTCGCGTCACCCAAAGGGTAGTCACCATCATAGTCCTAGGTATAGTCATGGCTAAAGGTCTTGTCATCCATAGGGATATGGTCTATGTCCCTGACATGTCAGTGGTCATGTCACCATACCGTAGTGGTCACGTCATCGTACCGTCATGTAACTCACCCACCACCATGTAGCCTATAAATACGGCATTTACTCCGGTGGGTGAGGGGATGAGATTGGGGGAGAATCACACTCTATCTCTAGAAAGAACGAACTTCTCTCACTAAAACACTCTCTCGACCTTATTCTTACTTCCATTTGTCTTAAAGTTCCTACTTAACCAAGTCATTCGTTCTTCTCGACCCGTTCTCGTGAACTTCACTCCTACACTCAGTCAGGTTCAAACAATAACTAATGTAGTTAATGTGGGTTTTGTGGGTAAACCGCTGTGGGTAGTGGTTAATCACTAACCACAAAAGTTAATATTTTGCTACCCACACCCAACCCACTATCCACAAATTGTGGGTATGGGTATCCACAAAGTGTGCGGTTTGGTGCGGTTTGTGGGTTACCCGCAATCCGCAAACCAAACTTCCACCCCTAGCAGCAGCCACATGATCTGGACTCAGAGCATGCACGAACTGGCTGAGGAGATTGACTGAATAGGCAATGTCAGGGCGGGTGATAGTGAGATAATCTCCCAATGAGCCAGCGATAAGAACTCACATTTGGGGCCCGCGAATCAGTGGAACGAGTGAGTGTGTGCCCCGATTCCATAGGAAATTTGCTGGGGCGGGCAACACCTAAGCCCGAGTCGGCGAGAATGTCCAACGTGTACTTCCGCTGACTCAGGACGATGCCTTCAGGAGAGCTGGTGACTTCGATGCCCAAAAAGTACTTAAGAGACCCCAAATCCTTGATGCTAAAACGCTGGTGGAGGAAGGACTTAAGCCGAGCAATGAAATCCAAATCAGAACCAGTGATCACCACGTCGTCGACATAGATAAGACGGCCACGAAGGCGTCGGCGGCTTGCTAGATGAAAAGCGAGTGATCCGCCTTAGACATGACGAAACCAAACTCAAGAAGAGCTTCTGTAAACTTGTTGTACCAGTTGCGTGATGCCTGGCGCATCCCGTATAAGGACTTGCGAAGACGACAAACACGATCATCACCATCAGTGGCAAAACCAGGAGGCACGCGCATGTAAACCTCCTCCTCGAGATCACCATGCAGGAAAGCATTGTTGACGTCGAGCTGATGAAGTGACCACCCACACTGAGCAACGAAAGCTAACAAGACCCGAACTGTGACTAATTTGGCCACAGGGGCAAATGTGTTGTGAAAGTCAATCCCTTCCAACTGAGTGAAGCCCTTGGCAACAAGGCGAGCTTTGTAGCGATCAACCGTGCTATCCGGGTTATACTTGATTTTGTAAACCCATTTACAGTCAATGAGACGTTTGCCGGGGGGGGGGGGGGGGGGGGGGGGGGGGGGGGGGGGGGAGGGGTTCCAATGTCCAAGTACCCTGTGCTTCGAAAACCATGATCTCCTTTTGCATCGCTGCCTTCCAATGATCATGCCTGATGGCTTGGTGAAAATACCGTGGCTCGTCATGTTTGGACAAAGAAGCCAAGTAAGCACGATGAGCAGGGGAGAAGCGATCATAATTAACAAAATGAGACATAGGGAATTGAACATGAGAAGCATTAGTGGAAGGGAAGTCTACCTCATATATATTGAGTCCAGAGGGAGGGCGCCTGTCACGTGTGGGATTGCGACGAGGGGCCATGGAAGCTGGAACTTCAGGAGAAATATGTGATGGGGAGAAGCATCATCATGATGGCCCTCCACATTTCCCAGTGAAGTCTGTGGCGGCAGGGGTGACTCTGAAGAGGAATGATCATTTTCCTTGGCCGACAAGGCCAAGAGCTCCTCGTCAGTGCAATCCGCCGGCTCGTCATCTGCATGCATGGCGAGATCAACGTGAAAGGGAGCTGGGACGCGGGCCATTGAGGATCATTGCCATCATCCGAGACAACATCCTTGCGAATGAGGAAAGGAAAAACGTGATCGACGAAATGAACATCGCGAGAAACGATAATCTTCCTCGTTTGCAAATTGTAAATGCGATATCCCTTCTGTGTACCGGGATACCCAATAAAGACACCAGCTCTCCCCATGTCGGCGAACTTGTCAAGACTATGATGGGTTTCTTAGCGTAGACCAAACAATCAAAGCTGCGCAAATGGTGATAAGTTGGTGAACGACCTAGGAGAACCTCGAAAGGAGTCTTACGAGAGAGCACAAGAGAGGGGAGACGATTTATCAGATATGTGGCGGTGAGGACGCACTCTCCCCAAAACGAACCGGGAGACCCGCATGAAACATGAGGGCACGCACGGTCTCCAACAAATGGCGATGTTTACGTTTGACCACGCCATTCTGTTGAGGGGTGTTTGTGCAAGTCGTCTGAAGAACAATACCGAACTCTTCGTAGAAGCTGCGTAGTGAATGAGTCTGAAACTCGAGACCATTATCAGCATGTATGCGACGAACCTGTTTATTAAACTGAGTGCGAACGAGCTGAAAGAATAGCTTGAGATAACGCTCAACATCATATTTGAACTTCATCAGGTAAACCCAAGTGGAACGGCTGTAATCATCAACTATGGTCAAGAAGTAACGAGAACCATCCAGCGAGGGCGTCCGATATGCCCCCCAGCTATCGACATGAATTAAGTCAAAACAACCACTAGTTTTTATTGAACTACTGGGAAACGGAGTGCGTGTTTGCTTGGCACGCAAACAAGAATCCCAATGCAAAGAATTCTTCGAATCCAAAGAACAACCAAAAAAATCATTCAACTGAACAAGTTTGTCAAATGAAGGATGCCCAAGATGAGCATGCCAGAAATCTTGCGACACCACTTTGCAAGCCTGGGGACGAGCAGGAAGTGATCCCGGCAGCCCATCAAATCTCTAAAGATAATAAAGACCGTCCCTAAGTTGACCTGCTCCAATCAGCAACCTGGAAGGTAAGGCCCGAATAACGCAGAAAGTATGCAAGAATGTCACTGCAACGTTATGATCTTGAGTTAAACGGCTTGCAGATAAAAGATTGCATTTGAATTCCGGGACATGCAGAACTCGGGTAAGCTTAAGAGAGCTCTACAGAGAAACAGAGCCCATGCCCTTGACCGAGACGCCTGCACCATCAGGAATCCAAACCTGAGAGTGTACAAAAGAGTCGTCTACAGTATCCAGCCAAGAAGCATCTCGAACAATGTGTTCGTTACAACCTGAGTCTATTAGCCATTCATATAAATCATGAGCGTTACCAACCATATGTGTCATTGGAGCAGAAGGTGATTCCGCGGAGAGAAGCTGTTGTAGCTGAGCAAACTGCGAGGCCGTCAAACCAGGGACAGGAGACGTGTTGGGCTCCACATGAGCAGCTTTGGGTCGACGAGAGTTGCCACTAGGATGCTCCTCTGCCGGTTGCGGATGACCCGCTGGGTAGCCAATGAGGCGATAACACATATCCTTCGTATGACCTAGTTTGTTACAGTGGGCACAACGCGGACGATCACGATCATCACGGTCAGCACGGGAATCATGATCAGCCCGAGAATCCTTGTCGGAGCTGGCTTGGAAAACTGTCGTGTCAACCACTGGAGGCCCACACCCACTAGTGAGCTGCCTATGCTGTTCTTCAGAAGCATTTCAAAGCTGACCATGTAAGTCACATGTGCATCCCCCGCACGAGCAGCCCGCACAAGAACAGCGAGGCGCACTGTCGAGAGCCTGTTGTTCGTCCCAAAGAGAACGCAAGCGAGTGTAGAAACTGGAAACTGAGGACTTGTCCTGACATGAAGAGCCCAGTGTACGACGAAGCTCGTAGACGCGTTGAGCAGAAGCTAAATCGCTTCTGAAGATCGAGCCAAATTGCACGAGCTGTAACCGCTGTCCGCACACTATTCGCACCTTGCGAGTCATGGCGGTCTTCAACCACCCTTTGACAGTCGCATCACACCGATCCCAAGCTGCTTGAGGATGAGCAGAACCAGCTTGAGCACGAGGAAGGGTGCCATCCACAAACGCCATTTTATTCTTGGCGATTAGGGTTTCGATGATGTCATTGACCCACTCACCGTAATTCAAATCTTTCAATAAATCACTACCAAAAAGTTGGGCAGGATTCTCCGAAGGGTGAAGGTAAAGAGGAGAACTGGTCGGGATATTGTTGTCGTCACCAATCGAACCAACAGACTTGCCGCCAGATGCCTCGTCCTTGCCCATGATGAAGAGAGGAAACGATGCTGAATCTTAATGCTCTGATACCATGTAGAAACGTATAATGCGGAAGTAAACGACATGATGGTTTAAGTGGTTTCCCCGAAGATCGGGACTAGTCCACTGAGAGCAGAGCTCTTAGAGATGGTTTTCACTATGCTAGCAGCTAGGGTTGCGGCTGCTTAATGATTCTAGCCGAAAGGCTACAAGCTTATATACCCTTCCACCTGACACACGGGTATATAAGTACAATTACAAAAGACATCAACCAAAGAGTAAACTGTACAAAAGAGTCCAGGTCTAATATGCTATGCTTTACAACTTCCTCTCTCTTCTTCTCTTCCATGGCTCTGAGCAAATTTCCCTTCGCCGGAGAAAGCTTCCGCATGCAGGTCCGACTCTAATCAGTAGTTGTCTACAACCCTATAATTTAACAACAGATCATAAATAGGGATGGCAATTACCCACCCATGGGTAATTATACCCAAATCCAAGTAAACTCATTCATAATGGGTTGGGTATGAGTGAAGTGTATATGGGTTTGGGGGGTTTGTAGATAGGTTGGGTATGGGTATGAATATTGCTTCCATAATCTAAATGGGTATGGGTTGGATATGGATATCCATTTACTTGGGGGTGTTTTAACTACACATGCAAAAATTGGACCTATTTGTAAAACTTGAAAGTTTAGGTACCAAAATGTAAGACCAAAAAAATTTAGGTACCAAAACGTAATTTTCCATCGATATTTTGATGAGTTATATGCAAAAAAAATCAATTTTAGGTACTAAATATGCATATCTATTAAGTTTAGGTACCAAACTATAATTTTCATTTGGGCATGGGTACAAACCTAAATCCATCTGTTATAAACCCAACTCAATCCAAGTAAATAGATATGGATACAACTACATCATTGTATTTATGAACGTAGCTACGTACATATAACCAAATTAGACATTTTTTTACGGGAATAACCAAATTAAACATACTCACAATATTTCACGAATTCCAAATGTGACGTATTACGTATCTAAACCACGCCAATTTATAACCATTCAAGTCTAATTGTTTTGGTGGGTCTCGTTACCCCCCTTATCTACTGCCAACGTTTTTACTAGAGCTCCGGCAATTAGCGCGCCGTCCACTTTGTAAACTACAGAAAAAGAAGAAAAAAAACAGCATCTTTAGCGAAGAATAGTTCGTCGCAAAGGGATCGAACTTCGTCGCCAAAGGTTGCTAGGCTCCGTCGTGTATACCGCGTGGCCTTAGGGTTATTGCGACGAATATTTGTGCATCGTCGCAAAAGGTAGAGACTTCTGCGACGAATAGATATTGATTTGCAACAAATTCATTCGTAGCTGAAAGTTTGCGACGAGGGGTTATCTCACAGTTTGCTCCTTCCGCGACGAAAATTTGGACGCATATACAGCTAGACCCGATCCCATACATTCAGCGACGACATGTTTATAAGGTGTCAAAGAAGACGAGCGAGGTAGACAAAGATATGCAGCCTAGTATTCTGCTAACTGCATAAGTTGTTAGTATATACTAACTAATATTCAAAATGTATGAACTAGTATCCAAGTCTACTGATTTTACGAAAGTATCTAGATAGCAGAGACTAGTATTCAAAACATCACAAACTAGTATCCAGATGGCAGATACCAACTAATATCCACAATCAACCAACTAGTATTCAATATGGATACTCTTATGTGTTATCTAGATAATCTTATGTATAATATGGATACTAATTATGTACTGTATGAATACTATTCTGTGTTGTCTAGATATTAGTTTGTGAATTTGGGATAATAGTTAATTCCCGATGGATATCAGGTAGCAAACCTTGAATACTAGTTTGTGCTCTCTAGATACTTTAGTACTTAGATATTAGTTCATGTATTTTAGATACCACTTAGTATCTGCTAATGAATTTTCAAGTTAGCACATTAACTTTTTCCAAAGATATGTACACAACATGCTTGTACGTTTACAAAATGATGGATCGTTGGGCCTTTGGTGAAATGACATTGACTCCAGGTCTGGTGAGATGGGCCTAAGCTCATATACAATATTTGATGTGTGTAGAAATCATAGAGTTTGGGCCACCAATCTGACGAGATAAACAAAAACAGCCACTAATCTAACCACAAATCTCACACTTGTTCTTTGTGGATAACAACATGTTCTTTGGGAGGGCCACAGAGCAGGAGAGTGGCGTGTTAAAAGAAATCCTTACCTTGTATGAGAAAGAATCAGGTCAACTGGTGAATTTTCAGAAATCGGCTGTCTGTTTTAGCGGGAAAGTTAAGACACACCAGAAGCTTATGATCAGTGGTACTTTGCAGATGACACTGGTGGATAAGCATGACAAGTACCTGGGGCTACCGACTATGGTGGGTTGATCCAAGAAAGAGATATTTAATGGATTGAAGGAAAGAATTCGGAAGAAGTTGAAGGGCTGGAAAGAAAAGACCCTGTCTGTGGCAGGGAGGGACACCCTGATTTGCTCTGTTGCTCAGGCCCAACTCACTTATGCTATGTCTGTTTTCCGGATCCCGGTTACTATCATTAACGAGATTCATAGTCTTATCATGAATTTCTATTGGGGGCAGAAGGGTTCCGAGACGAGAATTCATTGGCTAAATAGAGAAGGTATGCTAGTGCCGAAG